CGAAGTATTCACTTCGAAATTGTTTCTGAAGAAGGTTGCAACATGACATCCGAAACGTTAAACATTTTTTCAAAAAACGCACCGCTTAACCCGAAAGTTTCTAGTTCTAGGTCTAGTGTTAGTTCTAGCGATAGTCTAGTTTTGGTTTAATTAACACCGGCCGTGGAAGCCTTCGTACTCATTATAGAATATGTCAATTTTGTAAAGTAATATACAGTGTGACCCATTTGAAAGCGGAGTAACCTCGTAAAATTTGTATTTATTATCCGATTTTGACAATTTTTTTTTGAATTGTGGACCGTAAAGAACTGTACCTTCGCATAAAGAGTCATAAAAGTCAAAAAAAGAGTCAAAAAAAAATTGTCGAAATCGGATAATAAATACAAATTTTACGAGGGTGCTCCGCTTTCAAAAGGGTCACACTGTATATTCAGGTTGGCCTAAAAAATTATTAGATATCTCAAAACCGAAAGAAGATTTTTAAGTCCACCTTGTTCATGAAAAAATACATACTTACTTCTACAAATCATAAACATTTCATCAAAATATCTTAAAAATTCGATTTTGCACGATTTACTTAAAGCGATTGTAAAAGATTGTTTACTTCACCATATCAAAGAATACAGGTTACTTCCAATCCATTAATAGAAGTGTGGCTTCATATTAAACTACAATAATAACTACTTGTATGCCGATGAAATCCGATATTATCCGCACAGAATTGCAGAAACGCTGCGGCTATATAAATTTTCTTTAACCCTTGGGTAGACGCGCCTCTATATGTAACGCCACCACACGCGATGGGACTCCCAGTCCGATAGTAACAAAACAGCTCAATTTTTATGTTACTTTTTGTATTAAAACCTAAAATGTGTGATAGTATATTGGTTAATTAACCTTCTTACAAAGTGCTTTCACGTGTTTTTTCAAACATATATCACATTGTTCTGGCGTTTTGATTGCTTTTGACAGATCTTTAGTTTGGTCCATGTTGATCGTTGTCAGCTGGTGATACTGGCGGCTTATACTTTGCATGTTTTTTAGTTCATTTAGCAATGATTAAATAAGATCTCCTCTTCAATTATTAGATGACTAAGCTTAGAGATCTTTTTTAGATTCTTTACGATTCTTCGTTAGATAGTCCCTCCAAATCTACATCCAACGTTTTATGTAACATTTTGTTGGCTTTGACGGTTTGTACCAGCGAAAACCACAATGATCACGAAATGCTAAAAACATCTCAATGATGACATTTTGGTGTAAGTGATAATGTAATATGCATTTTTTGCAATAAATAGAACAACTAACTTTTAGTTTCACGCCTTTCTTGTTCGGGGAAGCAAGGTCAATTGTAATATTGATTATCTGAACATGTTGACTTTTAAATCATGAATTGCCCAAAAATCCCAAATATTTTGATGACTAGTTCAAACATCTCCTGCATACTTGGCAGGTATAACTCCAATAAAGGTTGGATATGCGATCATCTCATTTATTTGTGGTCTCGTTATCAAATATACCAGAATATTATATAGTCGTACTTGAAGTAGTTTTAGATTATCGTTCTTCATTGCGTTTCATTTTTACTTATTAAAAGATTTTTTTTTGTAACGAAGATAAGATAACAACAGATTCAGGTCAACAGGTTTATCTTTAATGTTATCTTTAGTTTCTAAGTTATCATCTTCTTCCTGCTAATATGGATATCCATATTGGTAGGCTACTGCCTCTTCGTTGTCAAAACGTCCTCCCCGGAAGATGAGGTTCAACATTCTCGCTATTGTTTTGGTGGTCTTCCCTGTGATCCTTTTCCCATTAGGTTATTCGTTTTTATGATTTTAACGATTTTGCCATCTTCTATTCTTTTTATATGTTTGCCCCAGAATCTTCGTTTCTCTTTCACCAGTCTTCCTATGTCCTGTATTCCGCATTATTGTCTGATATCTTCATTCCGTATTCTGTCGTGCAGAGTTTTGCCTTGTTTCTTAGAACAGTTTCTTAGTGTTTTCATCTCGATTAACTAAATCATCTGATTTTTCGAATCAGGCAAAACCATCTTTCATCAATTGTTTCAATAACTAAGTGAAAACTATGTGTAAACTAATTGGTCTATATCAGCAGCATTATCAAAGTCATGGACAACGCTTTTTGTCCATACTTATACACATACTAACAAATAAAAAAGTAGTCTAGAAACAACATGCCGGATATGTTCCAGAACTGTTCAAAAATTGAGAAAATTCTCAATTTTTCTCGCTATTGTTTATGACTTTATTAACATTTAATCCTTTCGGGATTGCTGCCACCGCAGCTAGCACAGTAGTAGTGCTAACTACAAATTTAAAATTAATTTTCTAAATGTCTACTAGTTTGTAATAAAAACATACAGATGTTAGGTTGATATTTTTTTGGAGCTCATTTCAGAGTGTCTATACTAGCGATGTGCACGTTTCAGATTATTTGTATCGAAGTTGCCTCATAATTGTATGTTGCCTCATATTTTAAAGAGTAATTTATTGGAAAACATGGCCTTTGATAGGTAACATAATGAGTATTTTTAATTTTGTTGAGGGATAAACATTGTTTCAATATGAGTGCACAATTTCCAGTAAAATAAAGACAAAATTTGTTTTTAGCTGGAAAACAAAGTTGACTTGAACAGAATTAGAAAATATGACTCAAGACGAAGTATGTACCCAAAGACATAGAAAATGACAAAAAGGAAAGTGAAGATGGAAGCAACTACAAACTTCCAAACTAGCAACTACGGAGTTATAACTTTAATGATGATTACTAACAATCGAGATTATTAGTTGTGCAGAATGGAACTGAGGGATAGCTCCGTCGATATCAACACAATATTTTCGTGGTACAATAAAATACAAATAAATTACGATAAACTTGACAAATTTAGATACCTGGGCAACGTACTATCTGAATCTTTTATTGCATCATTGGAACCTAGTGAATATCAAACAATACTTTGATAACTTTGAATTTTTAAATTTAAGCAATCGGGTTTTAGCACGTTCATTACCGCATCACCCATATCCGTATGAGTCTCGTCATCGAAATATGGATGACGTTCTTCTTGTTCTGTTGCTGTATAACATCTAACGAGAGGCGTCTGTATTAGACCCATGCTAATTATCAGTCCGATAAATTTTGCAATTACTTCAAAATTTCTTCATTTCATGTTGATGCAATTTTTGCTCTGCACATCTATTAGTCTATGTGACTAATATCACAAGGTAGATTGTTGCTTGTTAGCGAATTCTTTCCACTGATAAGTTCTTCCAATATGTCCTCAAAGTCTTCATTTGATTCTTCATCTTCTAAATCTACTAACTAGTTCGTGATTACTACCCTCCAATTATTTGTTTACACCATACAATGAATATTATGAAGATGAAAAACTCGTACGTCTCAAAAAATGTATTGGCGACGAAATGAATTGAAGATTTGGTAAGGCTGAGTTGGGTCCAGCGAAAGTGTTAAGCTAGATGACGAAAGTGTTAAAAAAACCTACCGAGAAACTTAGTTGAAACTTTATTTCAATGATTATTTCTGTCAAATTGTAAAAGAGCTCACTTACAGAAAGTATTTATTCTTCTGGCACGGTGCGGAAAGTAAGAATATATCTGATAAAATTGAAAACAGACTAAGAATTGAAGAGAGAAGATTCAGACTGGTAGGTATCAACTGATGGTATTGTAACCCTGATATGGATGGAAAATTATAGTGTACTGCTTCTTGCAAATTATGTCATTCACTTAAATAACCTACACATGAGATATGTATACAAGTTTGACATGCTACTCTATAGAACAGGTAGAAAATTCCATAAACGGTAGCATCGCATTTTAGAATAACGGTAGCATCGCATATGTTTCATTCTAAAACCGAATTAAATATTAGATGTCATTGAAGATGTTTTGTTTTGCTGCTGCGAATGGTCTAATTGGGTAAACATGGTAGGAAGCCAAAGAAAATTGCAGAAAATAACCACAAGAAATGTCCCTTACAATAAGTAAAGTGTGATCAGCACAGCAAAAGAAGTATATTAAACTATTTGGAAATGCTCCACTTGCAATATGAACTTACGTATGTCTAAACAAAGGCAGAAGCTGTTTTTATTCTTCCAAAGAAAGTAACTAGGTATCGCAAGGACCTATTGGTTACTAGCGCTAACCACATTCTGGAGGATAATCAGGACACCTTATTGACAGTTCCTTTCTGTAAATTTATTTATACAGCTATTTGTAACTAATTTATAAAAAGAAGTATGTGTTAAGTAAAATATTTTTATTCCGCCCTCAAATGGCTAAAGATCTTCTCGATGAAGTCTCTCATACAATAAAAGGATAAGTGTGATGTAATTACTTAAACAGTAAGTTTCCAAATCGATGGATTGGATAAGAAATTAATCATGTATGGTCCCGTCAATCACCCGATTTAAACCCTATCGATTTTTCTATCTATACCTAGACACATTGGTGTATAAATTATCATTTCCGCAAGGAAGCTGAAGTCACTTATTCTCAATCCTTCAAATACACTAAAAAGTCATCTTCTAAAATTTGACTACGTTATATCAAAACACCTGTATACTTAATTTTTATATACAGCGTATCCGCAAACTAGTGAATATTGTACAATAAATTGATTAAAATCTATTTAATTGATTAAATTGTTTAAAATTATTTAAAATTATCGAAATTGTTGGAATCGTTCAGTCAACATCCAAAAATAATTATTTAAAATATTTCCAAATTATTAATAAGTTATTAAAAATGCTAACATATTATTTAAAATTACCTTTATATCAATTATAATATTCAAAATATCAGTAAAAAACATTCGGAAACTTTTAAGTAGGAAAAAACAACAATATCTTACAATGAAGCCAAACCACTCTTTCCACATCGAGATTTTGCAACAGAAAACCTTCTTAAATGTCAAGTCGTTCGTTTTAATCTTGATATTACAAATAAAAATACCTTTTTTATTCCATAATTCTTCTTAAAACTTCACCAATCCACATCACCATTAAATAATTTTTTCAAATAACAATAATTTGAAATTTCCCCAAAAATTCCTTTTCAAACAATGTTATGTACAAAAAGATTTTTTAATCACAAAAGTTAACACAAAAAATAAATAAAAACGCACAAAACTTGTTTTAATCGAACGCGAGTGAAGTTTATTTGTTTTTAATTCAACGTGTTCAAACTATCGACCACTTTACCGTGTCTCCTGCTGGTTAATAACACCGCGTAAAGTGTCCAGGTGGAGTTGAACCGCGTGCAGGATGGAAACGAAAACGGTTCGGTTTTACTCGAAAAAAAGGGGGGAGTTACGCGGGTTGTTTTTAACACGCTCCAAGAATCAAGAATAGGATACACTTTCACTCTCTCGATCGATATTATTTCAAAAGTGTGTCTCGTTTTTGATCATAACAGAAGAAAAAAAAACTATTAGATAAGAAGTTTTGAGATCAAGTTGAAGTGAAAACAGAAAGAAAAGATATTTGTTGCAATCTAATCTTAAAATTGGAGTGTTTGAAAAATCGAGGTCATATGAATTAAATTTTAAATTGGGTGATCGTAATGATTTTTTTCTGAAAATTTGACATCGGCAGTTCGGGGTTTAATAAATTTTAATTTGGATGTTCTAGTTTGGGGACATGGTTTAAAAAAAAGGGGGTTATAGCTCCCAAGAGAACGATCAGTAATTTATCAAATTGAGTCATAAAAGTTGACAAGTATAAAACTTCATAAATTTGATGCGTTATTTTTTGGGAATAAGCGATTTAATAATCCCATTAGTAAAATAAAAAAGTATAAACAAAAAACAAACTTTTTTGAATATAATCTTTTTAACATCGAATAAATTAAAAATTTTGTACAGTTCCTTTTGGTGTTATTTTAAATAATTAATAAGTAATTATGGTTTAATTTATAATATTTAATTTGAATTATAAATCGTGTCTAAGTTAATTACCTACTTGTTACGAATTAAATTCTGTATAAAATATTACTAGGTTCTTGTTACTGCTTTGCTGTAATTTTACTCCGCGCCGAGAAATTTAATACACAATGTAATCACATTTTTAATTTGTAAATGTACACTGTAGGTATTCATAGTCTGTAAAAATACGATAAATTTAGCATGTATCTATAACAATAATAATCTTTATATTGTTTTATATACATTTGAAAAAGAAAAGATAAATATATTTAAGAAACAAGATTCTTTTTTTAGACTTTTAATACTTCCATAATCAATCAATCATTTATTTCAATAAAGTACAGTAGTATAATACATTTGTCAAAATAAAAAAACAAAATTTCAGTGAAAGAAAAGACAATGCCAAAATACTAATAATATTTATTATAATTTAGTACACTATAAAATTCATCGCCTAATAATTGTTTTTTTATTTCGGTTTTAAATTTTTTTGTTACTCAATGATTTGATATTTCCCGGCATAGATTGAACAATTTTACTGGTGCATAATTCGGGTTATTCTGCGATTTACCTATCCTATGAAAGGGAAGAATAAGGTCATCTTTGTGCCTTGTGTTATATGCATGTACTTCTGATTTTTTTGTGTAAGTATAGACACTTCTATGTAAGTACTCCAAACATGTTAATATAAAAAAGCACGGTATATTGGGCATATTTTAAAAGACTAAACATATTAACCCATGTTTAGTCTTTTAAAATATGTTCTACAACTGAAGACCTTGCAGCAACAACGAGTCAGCTCCATTTTAACAAATTGTTCAGGAGGCACAAAAAACTTTTCTGTAATAATACCCTAAGTCTTTTGCAATTCGTTTTTTTTTTTCTATTAGGTGTAATGAAAGTTTCACATCCATTATAATCATTTTCAGCAAACCTAAATTTTCAAAAATTGTCACTACCAAATTACAAAAAAAAAACTATTTAATTAGTATTTTAAAGATGTTGAAACACATTTATAAAACCAATAATTTATTTAAATGTCATCATGATTTTCTACCACATTATCAAATTTTATTGATCTGCAAAATGGTAAATCATTTTTGGGTACATACTTACACTGTTTAATTTTTGAAATTTTAATGGCAGTGGTTTAGAATATGCAGTTGCAGAAGGTTCTACAGAGATGTGTCCAATAATTATGGCTTTTTGGAAATCTTTAAGAATCAGCGCAGATATTGAACATTATGCTGTAAGATATTAATATGAGTTTAGATATAGCAAATTTCTCCTTTTCCTTATTAGACGTCATTTTCTTGAAATACGGTTTATAATGATCAATGAAAATCAATGTCATAGATTTTTCTACGGGTATTACTTCGAAGTTTTTTGAAGATTTCTTGTAATTACAGATATTCATTTGGATATACAGGGTGATTCTCAACTTATGCGCATAATAGTGCGTTTTCATAGATATCTGTGATATTTACTTTCAAATCAAGAATACATAGAACATTTTAAAATATCATCACAGCATGTGTTCGAACTTATTTCACATATTTTTTATCAATTGGGCTTCCTGAATCCACGATATCCCACTAGCGCAGCCTAAACCAGGGTGTTGGCGGATTGTCTGGGAAGCAGCATGTATCTGATTTTGCAATATTTGCTCAGTGTTAACTTCCCTGGCACTATGCTTTTTAAGTGACCCGAAAAGTAAAAATCAAGAGGATTAAAGACGGGCGATCACGATGGCCAGGCCATTAGACCATCTCGACCTATCCATCTTCCAGGAAACACATTATCTAGATGTCGCTGCATATATGAGATATCTAGGAAACTAAACAACTTTTACTGCAATGTTTTTCATCTATTAGTCATTATTTGTCATGAGGAATAAATCCTCAAGTTTATGCGTATAGGTTGAGAATTACCTGTATTTGGTATACACGTTCTATTTTTCTCATGCATTTTTCGACAACTCCAAAAGATTGGTCACAAGGCAGAAAACTGTGGCCAGGCCCAGGAAAACGATGAACCATTTTTTGATTCTGCCAAATTGTAAAGAAAGAAGAAGAGTTTTTATTTTGCGCAGCACAGTTATCGGAAAATAAACACAATCTTTCAACATTTTTATCCAGTATGTTTGTAATAAAGTGATGCAAAAAACTTATTGATTCATTTGGTGTCTTTTTATCTTGAGCTTCATGATACATATAAAAATATGGCTTTCCGAATTTACCTGAATATACACAGAAATTAAACAACCAGAGTTGTTTTAAACAGAACGCATCGCGTAGGGATTTTAAACATTTTGTTCAAAATCAAACGAAAATGTGTCAACTCTAGGATCATTTTTCGCCAAAGTCTGCCTAATTTTTAGATCATCATAAAAAAGTTGGCATTTATTGAGGTGTAACTTTTTTTCAGTTTCTAGCTCATTCTTCTGATCGTCGGTTAACTTCCTGTCTCACGTAAACGTCTTTCGATATTCAGAAATGTTTTTCTATTAAATTGTCTTTAGTAACAATTTGTTTCCATATTATTGAAAACATTCCAAAATCGAGGTTGTGTCTTTTTGCTAATATCTCGAAAACGATGCGTCTAATCAAAAATTTCTAAGAGTGAAAATAATTTTGAACTGAAATAGGCTTTTAGAATTAGTTGGAAAATTTAAGAATTTATCACATAATAAAAAAGTTTGAAAAAAATAACCTTTGTGAATACCCAGTATAGCATTGATCCCGTGTTTCGATATTTCCAACAGTGATCTTAAACGATTTCTTATGATAACACTGTTTGTCAAATTTAGTCTTTCTAAGACAAACCATATTGAAAATATTTAAGAAAATGTTTGAAAATATCTTGACTTTGAACGCCCATATCTTAGCCATTTATGGGTTTAGAACAAAAATGTTTACACGAATCGTCATCATTTTCACTTTAGTATTTGTGATTAAAATTATGCCACGCCTTACAGAAACAACCTGTGTGGTGCAGGTTCATATATCTTCAAGTATAACTCATGCAGGTGCTGCCTTGTTGTTACTATAATTTCAAGCTGGATGCAGCTCTGATTAACGTTGCCCTACCAGGATTCCATTCTGTTGGCGCCTCGTTGTTGCATCAACTGATGGTTACTATTTGATTGGATGCAACTGTGTATTTAAATAATTTTTGACAGAAAATGGAGCTGCCTTGTTCTGTCTGTGTATATCCTCACCGTTATTTTCTGTAGCTTAAAAATGGTTTCCATGTCACTAGAAGTTCCCTATGCTATTATTCCATACGTTGCTATGTTATGAAAATAAGCGAAATAAATGTTTCTCGCATCAATGTAAGGTACGTTCTTTATTACAATTTTTAGGCAATATAATGAATCTTTTTAGATTAGTGATATGATCACTTCAAGAAAGAGTTTCTGAAAATTTAATCCCCAGAAAATGTATAGTCTGATTGGTCATATTATTATCCCGTTATATTTTCTGTTTCAGTTTCTGTGGGTCTCTAGATCTATTTATGAACGACGTATCATTAGCTTATAGACACATTGAAAGTGTATCCACATTTAGAACTATATCATTAATATATGTCAAAAACAAAACTGTCCCAAGCACAGAACCTTGAGGAACACTCAAAACAATTTCCTTCTATGTCGATACTGATCCTCTCCAGTGTACCTGTTGTTCTCCAGTGTTCTGTTTTGAAGATACGATGTAATTTAAGTTGTTATCCATGTTGCAAAGATTAATAATCAAATAAAAACCATGTAAAAACTTCTAACTTGCATTTATTTATATAAACTCGTACTTGTTTCGGGTTCAGGATCGTCAGCGACAAAGTCAACGAAGCTATAATAGGTGTAGACTGGAAATCAAATGAAAATAAAGCATTTTGCTATCTGATGGATAAACAAAATGAAGAGAGATGGGATGAGATCACCTCATCTCATCCCACCAACACATCTTCTTAAAGATTTACTCGATTTTCTAATTTTTAATTTCCTATTTCATCTTTTATCTTCATTTTGTTTATCCACAACACAGTATCAAACGCTTTACTTAGATCACAGAATGCAATATGGGTATCTGCGCGCTGATACAATCCTTTTGTTATTTCTTCTAAAACTTCAAGAATTGCAGTTATTGTCGATCTCCCGGGTTGATATCCATGTTGATATTTATTCAGTAAATTATTTTATTCAATTTATTGTATATTGCCACTTTATACATTTTTGAGATATTTTTGAAAATTTTCTTATTTTCTTCACAGGCACAACTTTCGCACACTTTAATTCGGATGGAAAAATGCCATCTTGCA